GGCTCTAGGTGGGTGGCCATCTGCGTTTACAACCTTTTTCTGCTGAGAAGCCCAAAAAGTTAGTTAAAGTTAGGAAGTTTTTTGCCACATTTCAAGATAATTAATTAAAGAATACCTTCGAAACTCCAACTCATTTTAAGATTATTACACTCCCATATTCCCAGAAATAACAGAGGACATACCCTTGGTGTTCCTAGAGGATAGATTCACATTTATTCATGTCTGTCTTTGAGAACAGCCGTTAGCTGCTCGTGTGTACATTGAAACACTTTCTTTCTTTTGCTTGTTGTAATTATTCCTCCTGTTCATACTGGCCATTAAAAGGTCATCCCCTAATGTACTTTCAGTGTAAGTGAACCAGTCCTTTTCTGTAAAACTTGAAATCCTTTAATGCACTGGGAACCTCACTAGGGGTCGCCAAAGACGTGTGGGAGGTTGCAGGGCCCAACTTTTTAAAAAGTATATACAGTAATATACACAGTAGGTCTATATCTCAGCATTTCATTCATTTTTGTGAAGAAAACACTGAATTTAAAGAAGCCTCTTAAGTATGTATGATTGTAAAAATACACAATACTAAGAATTGTATTAAAAGTAAATATCAGGAAAACCCATCTCTGAAGCAATATTCACAGGAAATTATCGCCTCAAAATTCATTCAAATCGCTCGTTTGACACAAACCTCCTGCAGTTATTGTGTTCACTATTTGGGTTAATTGTACAGTTTATAAATTTGTATTTACTATTAATGTTATTCATTTAATATTATATGAATTATCCATAAAATATGTGAAGGGGTTGTCAGTTTACCCAACCACTGCTTTAATGGTAGCTACAGCCCTGCTCGGTGATCTAGCACTCATACAATGTGTCCCTAACCAGATTCAAATGTGAATGTTGTGGTTGATGATCGGTATCTTATCTCCAAAGTCACACAAATAACTTTGTTGTTGGCTACACAGTGGTTGTGGCCTTTTGAAAGGTTGGCACAACGGGCAGTGATGTTGTGACATCTATACGGTTTCAAAGTCACTTGATCTGCCTTGTATTATAGAGCACAGTGTGAAATAAACAAATAGCAATGTTAAACCGCACCAATCTGAGCGCTGCAGACTTCCTGATCAGCTCATCATCAACTACTATACCTCTGATGTCTTACATTGTAATTAAAAAGAACTCTTGTTAAATATTGTTTATTTACAATCAACAACGTGGAGGGATATTCTGAATATATGAAATATTAAAGCTTTAACACATTCATATCAGTACGATAATTCTGCTTTGTGGAATACACTCTTGTCTAAGCGGCTATACTGTTGTGATATACTGTCTGTATGTCGTGTGTCTATCATCTAACCCGTCAACAACAAAAGAACTATTTACATGTATGATTCTGGAAAAACTCATGCTTTATTCATCTTTCTTAAATGAACAATATACTTAGGCTACTTACATGATGTATCAACAATATATTCTAATTTCACTACCTTCAGTAACACTGGACAGATGGGCTTGAACAGAAACATAAATATTGAACAGAGATATTTATTCTTAAGGCTTACTTTGTCGTCCTGTTGTTGCCCTCTTTAGTGTCCTGGCTTCTGAACTAAGAGCTTCGCACTGCCATAACATACAGATATGTGCCATGCATTAAGGGTCTGTAACTTTAAATTTCACTTAAATGCTGCTCAATAGTCACTTTAGCATCAATAATATCTCGGAGGGATCACCTGAATAAAAACAAAACTCTTTCCTCAACAGTTAGAAAGTAATTATCTTTTGAAAACAAAGCGGTGGTACTGTGGATCGGAATGACTACGGTCAATTGAGGATTCAAGACCCATTCCCAACTGAGATTAACCTGACAAATGAATACCACAAACCAATATCAATTATCTAAATTAAAGCACTGCCTTTACTCGAGTGAAAATGTCTTTATGAAACCAGCCCGAGCTGACGTAAAATGTGTTTAACATGCTTTCAATGAGAAGTTCACAATTCCATGACTTGACAGATCCACCTAATAATTAAACCAACAGCATATCATTCACGATATTGAGGCATCCCGTTAGAGATCTTAGCATTTACTGTACATAAAAGAATCATCTTTTGCATTTATAAATTGAACATAATTATATTATTTCTTCATATAGCTCTCTTTGTAAACTGTCCCAATAGATACAGTATGTACAGTAAAAACTGCAACAGTTCTGTTGGTGCTGGTGTAGTGAGCACTCTGTCCCAAAGTTAGAGTAAGACATGGGAACTTTGCACAGTCACTCAGAGCTTCATATAACAAAACAAAGCCGACTAGGAAGAATCTTAAAACACACCGTTTTCTCCTCTCCAGTCCCTTTAGAGTACACACAGCCAGCGAACCTCCTCTCAGTGCTGTGTCCATCCCCACTTACAGGGCTGTGGCCTGACAGGTAGTGCTCCTCCTGGGAGCAGAGCAGAGGGGCTTCCAGGATACTGAGAATCCAGCAGGAGAGACGGAGGTGAATCTGGCAATGTCCATATGACGCCTCAGTCTCGTGAGGACAAAAAAAGTGGCCAGCTGTTCTCATAGTTTTTACTCAGCTCCCTGAAAGGTGGTTTCCTGACAGTTTCAAGTGCTTCTGTTTCCTCTCTGAAGTCTACAATTTTCACTTTTTTTGTACAAGTCTTAAAAAAACCTATGAAGTCACTGTAAAAGAAACAACGTTCTGGCTTTCCAGAGTTGGGATTGTATTTAGAGAGTTTTGCGTTTTGATCCCGTTACAATTGGTCGAGCAAATTCCACAAAATCATCTATAAGGACTGGCCACGCTCCTGAGGAAGAAACACCAAGATGTCATTAGCATCACAATGATTTTAAAAGTCCACATTCACATTACGTAGAAAGCAAATGGATTTAGGAGTTATTCCAAACTCACCCTCTTCGTCATAGTTTGACATGTCATCTGCAATCATGTTACCAAAGTCCAACAAGAGGTTCCATGTGTCCTTTGGGATGGATCGTTTATGGTGTTCCTGTAATTAACAAGTGCTGGTGAACCTATTGGTGTATATACACAGTTTCACACGTCTCATTTTCAATGTTTTCTAAGTCTGTAAACAAAAAGAGTTGACATGTTTGCCATTGTAACAGCGCAGTGTTAATTACTGATGGAACAGCATGTATTCTAGAGGTCCTAGAGTATGCAGGTTTCCATTCAAACCGAAAACACCATCTGGTTACACCCACTGATCCCCCTCTTTGACTGAGTTTGTGTTAATCAGCGAGGTGTAACGAAAGCTGGCACAGCCTTAGCCAAGTTCCCCATCACTGGGCCAAATGGATTTCAATGAGGGATGCATCATCAAAAGCTATTTCTCACTTTCTCAATTCCGATACCTCAAATTCATGTTATCTGATGATACAGAGTACCACTCTCTCTCCCTTTTTCCTCAGATTTAATAACTATTCGTAACTGTACAGAACCTTTTGGTATCGTAAGCAAGAGATTACTCTGGCCATAAAAACAACCTGCCACGACTCCATGAATGTAACTAATAGCAGTCAGTCAGTCATGTCTTGTCCAATACCGTTAATATGTGCTTTATTATTATTAT